TCTTCTTCTTCTTCTTCTTCTTCTTCTTCTTCTTCTTCTTCTTCTTCTTCTTCCCGAGGAGCCAAGAATGTCTCTGGGTATTCTAGAGTCTGCTGGGGTAATAACATAGATTGTAAAACGCATCAGGTTTGCCATAGAGATATGCGTTATGCAAATGCTATTGTTATAAACTACAACAAGTATACGGAACATCGTGCCACATTTATGCACAGCCAGTTTTGCCATCCAGTTTTCCTTCATCTGAAGCTACCCCATGACACGGCTCGTATTTAGTCTCTCTGCAGAATAAAAATACATAACTAAAGATAAATGAATGTGGCCATGCATTGAGCATACAGTTGAATATGGATAAGAAAGATTCCTTGGAGTTTTGTAGATTGACGTTATGTTTTTGAAACAAAAGTTTTGTCGTGACCCAAATCGTTGCCCATGACCGGCGGATCGGGGGGACTGATGTTGTGACGTTCAGCAATGAAGCGTCTTCTTGTCTGTTTTAGTAAGATTTTTCGGCGCTCGCAACTGTATAAGGTCATATGAGCGCCAACGCGTGGATGTCAAAAGAGAAGTCCAAACGGGAACCAGGCTTACTCTGATCACCTCTCTAGCTTCAACAGCACAAAGTCTGCTTCGACTATCAAGGCACCCAGAAATTGCAGTTCACAAGAGAGTGACAAACATACAAAAGAAGTAGAGGAAAAATGACTATAGTAAGGGTGAAGAAAGAAAAAGCAGCAGTTCCCCCTATGTTGTTCCGGCACAGTATGAGCATGACCTTGAATGACCTTTTGCTTCTTGTTTGTTTGTTTGTTTGTTTGTTTGTTTGTTTGTTTGCTTGTTTGTTTGCTTGTTTGAGTAAAGAGAAGCACATCGATACAAAAATGCTCATTTACTGTGACAAATATATAAAAGAAATAGAAATAAAAAGGGCGATAGAAAGGATGAGGAAAGAAAAAGTAGCAGTTCCTCCTATGTTGTTACGTCTTCAAAGACCCATAGAAGCGTTCATTAAGGGACTTGTGACCGTGTTTGAAATTGCCTTAACAAACGAGAGATGATATCCAAAAACTGAATTGGAGCGCCGCATACAAACGGATAATACTTATCATTTCTTCTTCTTCTTCTTCTTCTTCTTCTTCTTCTTCTTCTTCTTCTTCTTCTTCTTCTTCTTCTTCTTCTTCTTCTTCTTCTTCTTCTTCTTCTACTT